AAATTATGGCTTTTATTTAATCAAATTTAAATTAAATAATTTAAATTATGGCTTTTATTTGATCAAATTTAAATTAAATAATTTAAATTAACTTTTATTTCAACATTAAATGTGCTTGTTTGCTGAAATATATATTCACACTGATGTGGTGGCAAGTGGCTTTGCAACCTCTGAGAGCAGCTGCGCCTAAAGGTACTTTTATTCTTTTTTAAATCTTTTTTATTTTTTAATTTAAATAAATTAAATAAATTAAATAAATTAAAACCGAAACATTTGCAAAGATGCTGAGCCCAACTTGTGTGCCATTTAAGTCAAATCATGGCTGCAATTCAAGGCGAAAAACCATTTAAAGTTTATATTTTTTCTAAATAATTAAAATATTTACTTTTTAAAAGCAGCAAATGCGAAAAAAAAAATAAAAGTCTTTTAGAAGTTCGAGACAGCAGCGCTTTCCACTGCCTGTCTTTTCAAGTTCACAAGAGTCGCGCTGCTGCAGCAGCAGCCTCTGGCTTTGTTATTTCTTTTTCTTTTAATTCCAACTTTTTATTTATTTCTTTTTACGCCATTTTAACTTCTTGAACATCTGCAACTCCTCATGTCTGAAAAGAATAAATGCAAATTCAGATTTTGAGTTTTATTTCTTTTCTTTTTTTTTCTTTTTTGCCCCAGCTGCACTCAAAGGGCCTCCCCGTGGCTGCAATTTTTGCTGCTTGCAGTTTATTTAAATAAATTGGGTCTTTTTAAGCAGAAAAGTGAAGAGCTTTGCATGCGGGGGGCCCCAGAGGGGGCCCCCTGGGCCTGTGCTGCAGTGAGTTTGGGGGCTTTCTAGCTGCTGAAATAGCTCTACTAAGGCCAAGACAGTTCGCAATTGTTGTGGCTGTTAAAGGGGATTAAAATTTAATTCAAAAAGCTCCAATTTGCTGCTAATGAGGCCTCAAAAGCTACAGAAGAGCAGCTGCTTTGCTGCTGCACTTGCGGTGTATGTACAGCAAACAGCGAAATGAAAGCAACTTGGGAAAACTCCGAAAGCTCTCTTTTCAGAAAACTCCAAAAGGAGTTTTTGAGCTGTTAAGAGTTGGCAGCAAAGCCTGAGAATTCGCTGCATGCGCCGGCACTTTGGGTTGCAAAATAAAACTTTTGTGGGGCTTTTGGGGAGTTTTTGAAATGGATTTGTTTGCTGTTTTTGCTTAGCAAGTGAAGCAATTAAGGCTCTCATTTTCCTGTTTCTGAGGCGGCTAAATGGTCTTCTTTGTCTTCTTGAACTCAGCAATTTGTTTCAAAAATAAGCAGCAATGAAGTGCCTCTCGAGAAGCATCTTTGGGGCTTCTGAGTCCCCAAAATGCCACTTTAGCTGCGCTTTCAAGCCCCGTTTGCTGCACTTTAAGAATGCCAATTCATTTAAGAAAAGGTTTTATAAACTGCAGCACTTTAGAAAGCGAAGAGCTGTTTGAAGACCTGAACAAGAAGGCTGGCCTCTGCGGTGTACGTACACCGCAGGGGCAACAGCCCGCAGCTCTTCTTCTCTTTAATGCCAAAATGAAGTCCCATTTTATTTTTTAAAAGCATTGCAGAAATTAAAATCCGAATTGGTCTTAGTGCAAGTATTTGAGCAGCTAAAAAGGCCTCAGTCCGCAGCAGCTGCAGGCCTGTGGGGCGCCAGGCTGCTAAGGATTTAGTTTGCTGCTGCAGAGTTTGCTGCTGCAGCATAGCAGCACGAGCTGCTGCAGCAGCAAAGCGGATCCTTCGCAACCTGGGGCCCCACACGATTGCTGCTGCTGCAGCAAATCGACACCACCCTTCTTGCTGCTCCCTGCCTTCTTTGCTTCTTTTCTATTTCCTTTCTACTTTCTTTTTCCTGCTGCTGCTGCAGCTTCTGCCTTTTATTTAAGTTCAAAATGGCATAGTGTGGGGCCAGCAGCAGCAGACTTGTTTGCTGCCTTCAGCGCATGCAGCTGGAGCTGCCTCCTTGTCGATGCACAGCGCCTGCGCAGCTAGCAGGAAGGGCTTTTTGGCTTGAATTGCGGCACTATTCCTTTTCCTAAATTAAAAATAAAGAATTACTTTGAATTATTTAATTGAAACTCAATTCTCCCTCTATTTAAATCCATTCTTGGCGGAGTGGCTTCAGGGGAGTGGCGCCGTAGAGGCGCCGTCAGGCGAGGGGGTTGGCCGCGAAGTCGCGGAAGATCCGTTTAAATGGAACATTAAAATAAAAGATAATTCATTTAGAGTTTAAATATTGTATTTAAAACTAAAAGTTCTAAAGAGTGAGGGTTCAGTGAGCAGCGGAGGCCGGGATCTGGGCGGGCGCCAGCGCGGGGTGTCTGTACAGCGGGGTGGGGTAGCGAGTCCGGGGGCGGAACTCGGCGAAAAAATTCGTTTTTTTCTCCCGAAAAAGCCGCGCAATATAAAAAAGAGTGAATTAGGAATAATAAAGGGGTTAATTGGCGAAGTAGCGGAGTCGGGGCGCGCGTTGGGGCTTGCGCATGCATGCGGCGGGCGGCGGGGCGGGGCGCACCCCACGCCCCGCGGGCGGGGGGCTCTGCATGCTTCCAGGGACAACTCTCGCTGCTAAAGGATTGCGTAAGGGTTTTAGACTTCGAAGTGCGCAGCAGCAGGGAAGATGAGTGCGGGGAAGAGCGCAGGAGCAGCAGCAGCAGCAGCAGGGTCGGGCGTGCGGCGCCTGCGGCTGCGGCGGAAGAACAAGCGGGCCATAGCCCTCAAGCGGCGGGCCCAGGGCCGCTGCAGCAGCAAACTGCGCAGCAGCATAACTCCAGGAACAATTTTAATCCTCCTTAGCAGCGGCTTCCGCGGCAAACGCGTGGTCTTCCTGCAGCAGCAGCAGCCCTCGGGGCTGCTGCTGGTGACTGGCCCGTTTGCTGCTAACGGGGTCCCGCTGCGCCGCGTGAACCCCCGCTACGTAATAGCCACCAGCAGCAAAATAGATGTTTCAAAAGTGGACTTAAGTGGAGTTAAAGAGGAGTTGTTTGAGCGCAGCAGCAGCGAGCGGCAGCAGCAGCGGCAGCAGCGCAGCAGGGACGACGCCTCGCTCTTCGTGCAGCAGGACGCGCAGCAGCAGCAGCAGCAGCAGCAGCTGCCTGAGGAACGCAAGCTGCTGCAGCAGCAAATCGATAAACCCATTCTTGCTGCTCTCCAGAAAGACCCCCTCCTCAAGCAGTACCTCAAGACCCGCTTCACTCTCCGCGCCAACATGGCCCCCCACAACATGAAGTTCTGAGCTGCTGCTGCTGCTGCTGCTGCTGCAGCAGCAGCGGCTGCTGCTGCGGCAGCAGCGGCTGCTGCTGCTGCTGCTGCTCCAGCAGCGGCAGCGGGTGCTGCTGCTGCTGGGCTGCGGCGGCTGCTGCGCTGGCAGCAGGTGTGCTGCGGCTGCTGCCGCACCTCCAGCGGCTGTGCTGCTGCTGCTGCTGCTGCAGCAGCAGCAGCAGCAGCAGCAGCGCCAGCAGCAGCGGGGGGTGTTGGCTTGGTGGGGTCGAAAGACTCTTTGCTGCTTTCCACTTTCTTTCTTCCCGCCAAACTTTCATTTGCGAACTTCTGCAGCCGGTGGGCTCATTAAGGGACGCGTTTCACTTTTACTTGCTGCTGCTGCTGCTGCTGCTGCTGTTGCTGCTGCTGCTGCTGCTGCAGCAGTTAGTGGGTTTGTGGGGCTGTTGGAGAAATATACTTTTTGTCAGCTAGAGGGGAAATAGATTTTTGTTTTAGCCAATGCAAACAGAAGACACTTTGTGCAGCTTTTGAGCTGCTGCTGCAGTGTTGCTGCTTCTTGTTGCTGCTGCAGTGCTGCTGCTTCTAGTTGCTGCTGCATTGTTGCTGCTTCTAGTTGTTGCTGCAGTGCTGCTGCTTCTAGTTGCTGCTGAAGCGGAAATGAGCAGCGTAAGTGGGGCATCGCTTGCTGCAGCAGCAAGGATGCTGTCTAGACACCCCAGAGGCGCAAGGACCCCACAGATGGAGTGCTGCAGCCAGCAGCAGCAGCAGCAGCAGCAGCAACAGCAAAATGGCAGCACAAAAAACTTGAGATTTTCCCAGAGTTTGACTATTTGCTGGAGCCAGCAGCAGCAGCAAAGTGGCAGCAAATAACAGAGTCCGATTGCGCACAACAGCAATGCTGTGGGTGGGGTTTTTTTACCTAGAAAGTAGCAGCAGCAGCAGCAGCAGCGACAGCAGCAATAGAAGCAGCAAAAGCAACAGCAGCAGCAACAGCAGCAAGAACAGCAACAGCAGCAGCAGCAGTAGCGGCAGTAGCAAGTGCAGCAGAGCCAGCAGTGGCACTGAAAACAGCTGCAGCAGCAGCTGCTGCTGCTGCTGCGGCAGAAAAAGAAATGCTGCTGCAGATCGGCTCGCTGCGAAACGTGAATTCTATGCAGAAAGCCATTCTTTTTGTTCTTTTGCATGATTATTATTTTTAAAATAAAAAATAATTATTTTTAAACAATAATAATCTTTGCTGCTGCAATTAAATGCAATTAAACTGAGACAGTCCAGAAGCCGCAAGCTTCTGAATGGAACTTGCATTGCTGGAACTGGAAAGCTGCTGTTGAAAGCTACAAGTTGAATTGTCTGCAATTTTGCAGCTTTTTTCTTTTTTTCTTTCGCTTTTTAATCTTCTTTTTTCTCTATTTTGTCTAAATGCTTTTCTAAATGTCCAAATGCAAGTTTATCTTCTTAGTTTCCAGCTTATTGCTGCTGTTTTTCGCTGTCTTGGCTGCGGCAGCGGCATACTTGGGCAGCAGCTGGGCGAGGGCTGAGGCCGGTGGTTTAGGTTTTAGGGGTTCAGTTTTAGGGTTTAGGGTTTGGGGTTTAGCTTTCAGGGTTTAGGGTTTAGTGTGTGGGCGAGACATTCATCTTTTTCCTGGTTATTTGAACGCCCCAGCAGCCCTAGCCCACGGCTAGCTCCTCCGCGAGGATTTGGCGGGTTCTGCGGCTTTAAATGCCATTAAACAAAGACAAATTATCATTAAAGTTGATTTTTATGGGATTTGTTT